CGGTCAATAATTTTGTAATTATTTTTGGCATGGTTTCTTCCCTTTCTTTGTATGAGTACTCACTCTTGAGTGTATTATTACGTCATATAAAACAAAGTGTCATTAAACATATCTTTTACTTTTCCTCTACACTAAAACTAACTATTCTTGATGCTTTAATAGTGTAAGTATAATTTCAATAATTATCAAACAAAAAGAGTACAATGTGGATAATAACTCATAAAATATGATGTGAGGACTAACAGTCGAGGAATTCAATTCCGATCTTACATTAGTTAAATCTATTAACATACTCATTCTTCTCCTAAATGAAAATTTTCTCGAACAAAATTAGTATACAACAACAACAACAACAACAACAACAACAACAACAACGACACAGTATAATCCCACAGGTGGAGTCTGAGAAGGGTAATATGTACGCAGACCTTACTCCTACCCCGAAGGGTAGAGAGACTGTTTCCAGGAAATTAGTATCAACACAAGAATACATATGAAGAACCAATATTTTGTGTACTAAATAACATCACGTAACATCTTGAACAGTAAATTAAAGTTACCATAATTTTCATCTATAAATACCCCGAATTCCACGCTCTCAGTTGGCCTTTCAACATTGATTAAGAAGTTGAGACCAGAGGCGGCTCGTCCATAAAGCAGGTAAAGCAACTGCTTTAGACCCCACATTTGTTGAGGCTCCATTTTTTACGCCTAATAGGCAATATATAATTAATTTTTTTAAGTGAAGTAAACAAGTTTGATTTCTTTATTAAACAAATAAAGAGATGACGGATTTGCAACTGCTTTGATTTCTGCCAAGAAAATTGCATTTGAAATTAATATCGTACCCGAATTTCATAAGAAACGTATAATATTTTAGGAAGAAATAATTTGAGGAGAATGTTAATAGTGAAATCTTAAATTCTCTCGAAGAGTCTTTTAGAGTTGATTATTTTTTATACATATTCCCTCTGGTCCATAATACCTTTGTTATGCCCCTGAAGAAAATACTGACTCCTCGAACAAAAATATATTTTGACTGAATTATCCTTAATTAAAATTTATATGTTGTTAACTTGATACATTGAGATATGTAAATAAGGGCAAAATTTGGAAAAATAAAGTTAATTATATAAAATGACACTTATATTGGACTAAAATAAAAGCCAAAAAAGTCATTTATTATGGATCGGAGAGAGTAGTAGATTTAAACAATTGGAGGCATATATGAAAATATTTTTGGTTTTCTATTTAGCAGTAAAAACTGAGATCACTAGATGATGGAAATTTGAAAAAATATTGTCTATATCATGCCCCTTAAATCATAATAATAAACTCGATATTGATAGTTTAGATTTATTTTCTGAATTAAAATGCTCAATCAAATAAAATTATTTGATTATTTTTCAAATGCCTATATTACTTATAGAATAATGTTAATAACTTCTATTACCGTTGCCTCAGCGGAAAAAAGTATTTCAAAATTAAAATTGATAAAACCTTATCTAAGATAAACAATGTCTCAAAGATATTAAATGAATTAACTATATTGTCGATTGATAAAGACTTATTAGAAAAATTGATTATAAAAAATTAATAATAACTTTACATTTAAAAACAGTTAGAAAAAAAGATTTCAAATAAAAATAAAATATTTTTTATTAATAAAAAAGTTAAGGCCTCTCATAAAATTTGGCTTTAGGCCACAAAATTGGTCGGGCCGCCCCTGATTGGGACAACAAAAATAGTTATTCTCACATCAAATATTTCAAGAAAATAATATCCAGATAATTTTGGATTTCACAATATGGTCATGATATAAAAATACCAGCAAACGTACATTAATTAAAGGCATTAATTTATTTTCTTAAAATTTAAAACGTTAAATTAACAACCACAAAAAGAATAAAATATTAAAGGAACATACTGTGATGCTTGCTTTGATGAAGATTAAGTGGGCGTTTGGACATAAAATTGTAAAATTTTAAAAAAGAAGAAGTCAAATTTCAAGTAAAAATGGTATTTAAAAATTAGAGTTGTGTTTGGACATGAATATAGTTTTGGATTGTTTTTGAAGTTTTGTAAGTGATCTGAGTGAAAATTTTGAAAAACAACTTTTTGGAGTTTTTCAAATTTTTCAAAATTCATCTTCAATTGAAAATTAAAAATTTTATGGCCAAACACTAATAAAGTGAAAAAATTTCGGAAAAAAGTAAAAATAATTCTTATGCCCAAACGGGCTCTAAAGATAAAAATTAATAACTCTATTAATCTTCATTAACATGAATATGAAAACCAAAATTTCTTGGATATTTTGAAGAGTTGGTAGCAGAGATAGAACTAGGATTTAAAGCTTATTGGTTCTGTGTTACAATATATATATATATATTGAATTTTTAAAAAAAAATATAAAATATAAACAAAAGCTACTGAATTCGATCGAACCCGCATCAGACACGGTAGCTCTGCCCCTGTTGGTGGGAATGTAGTATTTTGACAACGAAGTTCTGTTAGCACATTTTAATTAATTATCAACGTACTAAATATTACGCAATGTCTAGACTTTTATAATTTTATCCAATATAGTTATTTCAGCAAATAATTTAGAAATGCTTTTATCGTTCAATATTGTCATAAAAGTGAAAAAGAGATCAAGTTATTCAAAAACTTATGAGATATAGAGTTATTCAGTCAATATTTCGAAAATATTTTTATTGTTCAATATTATCAAGAAAAAAAGATCAAATTATTCAAATAAATATGAGTACTTCTCATCATTGTTGTCCGAACATAAATAGAATAATAGGCATACTTGCTCAAAAAAGAAGTAGCTATGTTTATGTCCAAAACGTACTTAGTAATATGAATGTATAATCTATGTATATGGTTAAAAAAGGTAAACAATAAATATGACCGGCTGTTTGTGTAAAAATTCCTAAAATTAAATATGGCCTATATCATATATTGGATTACATATGGGCTAACGGGTATGGTTAAGAAGTATGTCCAAAACGTAATAGGTTTATATATGGCTTAATGTATAATATTCCGATCTTGTCCTTTCACTAAGTTATTAGGTATAATTTTTTAAGAATATTTTTGTAAATCAATATTATATTCATATTTTTATAATAATATAAATATAGATTAAAGTTTAAAATCTTTTACTTTACTGATAATAATTACATAAATTATTTGTTGCATATAATATAGTATTTGTACTTTTGTGACCTTTCATATTTGGGGGCACGCAATGGCTTCATTTGCCTTCCCATGCCCCTAATTTACGTGACATATTTTTTATTAGTTATTCCAAAAATAATGACACACTTCTATAGTGGAAAGAGTTTATCTTTATATTTTTATTTTAAATTAAACATAAATTTGGAAAAAACAAAAATAATCCTACTTCCATTCAACAACTTAAAATAAATAGTAATCGATCATAGGCTTCTTAATAGAATAGATTGCGCCAACTATAACATTTGAAAATACAAAACCGCAAAGCATATCAACTAAGAATAATATCTACCCTCGCCATAGAAGTTTTTTTTTTTTTTTAAAAATTAACTATCACTGCTAAAAAAACTGGTTGTAGCAACGGACAAATTCTGTAGCTAAACGGAAAAATCCGTCGCTATTCTCATTTAGCAACGAATTAATAACAGATGATCAAGAAATTCTGCTAGCTAGGGGCGATTTAGCGACAGATTAGCGATGACTTTCGTAGCTAATTCCAGTTTTTTTGTAGTGTATAAATAGCAGTGGCACATGCATTTTATTTCAAAAAGCCCCCTTTTAAAACACAAAATCACATAGACTTTTAAGAAAAAGTAAAAGAAAAATTTAGACATAAACCAATGTCATAGTTAAAAAATCCAAAAAATTTAATTTCATACTAAAGACTTGAAGCATAACCATAGATTTTTAATAGACTTATGTCGCGCCAACTAGGGCAATAGAAAATACAGAGCCCCAAAGCAGATCAACGGAGACTCTGTTTATCAAGATCTTATAATATGAGAAAAAATTACCTAATTATTTATTTATTGAATTTTGAATATGAGACCTCATCGGTGGCGAAGTCAGGAGTTTTTCTTAGGGTGTTCAAACTTGAAAGAAGTAAAAAGAATTTCTGACGAAGGGTGTTCAATATATGTTATATACCTCTAAAACTTAATATTTTACATATATACGCAGTTTAATTTTCCGACGAAGTATGGTCAATTGACCACCCTTATCATAATGTAGCTTGGCCCATGGACCTCATCATTCTTTCACTCATTTCATTGGTCAATAGACTACTCCCTTGAGTATGGGAGTTCATAAAAATCCGAAAAATCAAACCAAACCGACCAAAAAAATTGATACTTTTTAGGTTTGGTTTGGTTATGGTTTTGAATTTTAAAAACCGATTAAATTTGGCTTGGTTTTGGTTTTAATCAAAAAATAACCGGAAAAAACCGAATCAAACCGACAATAAAAGAAGCTATTTAAATTTATTATTACACCTATATATGTATATTTTTATATAAAATTTCTAAAATTTTATGGTATATATTAGTCATTTATATTTTTAGTCTAGTTCTTTGCTACTATAATAATCTAATTCTTTGCATTTACATTCTAGTTTGATTGGTAATTTTTTTTGTTAAGTAAAAAAATTTATTTCATATTATAAATAATTAATTTTTAATTGAGTACTTAAATTACGCTTGAGTGTGGTTTCTTCATTTCTTGAACGCAAAACAAAATTTATACTAATGTACAATAAAACCCAATTTTCTTTATTTGATAGCAATTAAACTTTTAAAATCATATTAATAAATATGTACAGTAAGTTTTAATCCACTTGCTTTATTATTCTCTCCTCTTCTCTCCCGCCCTTTTACTTTCTATATTTGGCAACTGCACTTCTTTTAAAACCAACTCTTCATACACTACGCTCCCCACAGGTAGAAAACAAATCCCATCTCTATCAAGTCTTGATTCTTGGTGCAAAACCCAGAATTTATTTTCGGTTTTGTGACTACCCATTTGTGAATCTTGGTGAATTTTCAATCATGGCTGTTGATGAAGCAGATCCGGATTCGAGCCCGATAAAGATTCGAGAAGTATGGGCTAATAATCTTAAATCCGAATTCGAACTCATTTCAACTGTGATTGATCAGTACCCTTTTGTATCTATGGACACAGAATTCCCCGGTGTTATCTACACGCACAATCCCGGGGAACACGCGCAGGCGTCGACGGCGGACAAGTATACGCTGTTGAAACGGAACGTCGATGCTTTGAATATTATTCAACTTGGGATTACGCTTTCTGATTCTGCCGGAAACTTGCCACATTTGGATTCCGGCGACCACCGGTACATATGGCAATTCAATTTCTCGGACTTTGATGTGGCGCGTGATAACCACGCTTCGAACTCGATCGAGCTCCTTCGCCAGCATGGAATAAATTTTGAAATGAACCGGGTTTTAGGGATTAACTCGGTGAATTTTGCCGAGTTGATGATGTCCTCAGGGTTGGTTTGCAATGCCTCAGTGAGTTGGGTGACTTTTCACGGCGCGTACGATTTCGCGTACTTGTTAAAAATCCTCACGCGCCGTCAATTGCCCGGCGGGTTAAATGACTTTTTGGGAAATCTCAGGGTGTTTTTCGGTAATACATGTTATGATGTGAAGTATTTGATGGGTTTCTGTGGACATCACGGGGGTTTAAACCGGGTGGCAGAGGCTTTGGCCGTGAACCGGGCGGTCGGAAAAAGTCACCAGGCCGGTTCAGATAGTTTGCTGACGTGGCATGTTTTTCATAAAATAAGGGATAATTCTTTTTTTAAAGGTGAACTGGAGAAATATGCTGGCGTCTTGTATGGGTACGAAGTGTAATTAAGTATCACTAATAAAGTGTTAGTAAATATAACTAATTTAATTAATTCTTTGTGGTGGAAAAGTTTGATCTCTTTGGATGAAGTGGCTAATGGAAAAGTTAATTAGAGATTAAAAGTCTGATTATGGAGATACCTTTGCTTTCTTACATTGACTAAATTTCATTAAATTAATTTTAAAATTGTGGACTATTCGTGAAATTGATCAGTGAGTAGTTCTATTTGATTAAAGGAGGAGGATTGCGAACGAGCATAAAATTGACCTATTAATCGTCATAATATAGATATTGTTGCACTAATATAAAAAATTATTTACGCTATCAGCATATATAATTTAATTCCAGTGGATATAATTTTATTCCACGGTTCACGAAATTATTAGACTATGATATTTGATCAAAGGACGACATTAGAATTATCGTAGTCAGTAGTAATTACAATTGTAGCATTTCAGAAATATTTTGCTAAATATTACATCTCGTTCATGCTTAAAGTTATACAGTCTATTTGCCCCTCCAAACCTTAACGATTTTCATTTTTTCTTATTCAGGTTCTTCTTTCTATAACAACGGTCTGAGGCGGAGCTAGAGTGTTAGTTACGAGTTTGGCCGAATTCAATAATTTTGGCTCAAATTTTGCATTTTTTTAGAAAAATTGATTGAATATGTATAAAGTATTAATTTAGAACTCAATAACTTAAAATAATTACAGTTTCGAACTCGTACATTTTAAATGCTGGCTCCGCCTCTATCAATCGTGCATCTTCCTAAGAAATACAATGTATACTCAAAAGCAGATAAATTGATTTTTTTCACCAAACGTAGATATATATTACATTAATGTAGCAAATAAACAATTTGAACAAAGGTGGCCATAGCATTCTTTTACAATCCAACTTGAAATATAGTTTTCCCAAGATACTTCCTTTAACAACAACAACAACAACGACCCAGTATAATCCCACAAGTGGGGTCAGGGGAGGGTAATATGTACGCAGACCTTACCCCTACCCCGAAGGGTAGAGAGGCTGTTTGCATCTACTATGAGGTATTAATTTTTCTCTGAATCATATCAATAACACTCTTTGCATCTGATAAAATCTTCACCTTCTCCCACCATTTGTAATTGCACGTTCAACGGTCATTCTTATCGCAAGCGCTTCAACAATTATAGCTTTTCCCACAAACTGGATTGGAGATCCACGGGCATGAAGCAGTTTTCCAAGGCTATCTTAGAGAAAGCCGGTGAAAGTAAATATGCGTAGTTGAAAACGCAGTTGGAAGTAACATGACAAAATGAAGACGAAGGAAATATTGATACCTAAAGTGATATTAGGAAGTCAGGTTTAATTTTGTATGTTTAAATCACGATATCACATATACATGTTTTAGAGTGAATACTGTCAAATCTCTTTGTAACATCCTCGTTTGTTTCAAATATTTTTGAATGTTATAACGAAGTGCTGTTATACAGAACATATATTATAACATAACAGGAAAATTAGTTCCGGAAAAGCTTGACTTTTATAGTAAAGTGTTGTTATAAAAGTATATTGTTATAGAGATGTCTGACTGTACTAGAGTTCTAGTTGTACATTATTCAAGTACTAACATGTGGATACAACTGTTGGTTGATATGAACTCCGATACTTTTAATGCGGAATATTGATGTATAAGTTAAAATTTGCTAACATTTAAATAAATATTAAATTCAAACTTATAATTTTAAAATCATAATAGAATTAACTGTCAGAGTCGAACCCATCAAATTTAGATAAAAAATTTTGCCGAGGAATTTTTCACTTTATTTAAACAATTACCATCACACAACCTATTTCCCTTGCCCAAAAGGAACCCAAAAAAGAACAAGTAATTCTTAGTTCTCGTCTCTAGATTTTGCATTCACTTAAATGACTACGTAAAAATATTTATTTAGAATGACTGATCAATTCTAGATACACACAGTGGCGGATCCAAAATTTTAAAGTGATGGGTGCTCGCAGATAAAAAATCCAAAAGAAGAGGAAAAAAAAAAATTTAGTTATGGGTGCTCACTCTATATTTATCTAACTATTTTTATAATTGCCTATATAAATTTACTAAATCCGGTTAAAAGTAATGGGTGCTCAAACACCCATAAGTATTCATGTACATCCGCCACTGGATACACATATATATGAAAACCATCGCTATTTGTTTATGGGGAAGTTTTACCTCCCAATATTTAATAGAAACAACCCTCATTATCAACTCGAAATTTAGAAGAATTATGCTGTCTTGTAGTTGAAATGCATGTTAAATAGAACATATATCTTAAAATAATATNATTTTTTATATAGCTCTAAATTATGGAGATCTAAAAATGTATATATTTTTTTAAAAAATTTTATTTGAAAAAATAAAAATACGCATCAAAAGAAGAAATAAAAAGAGTGTACAATTGCAAGTTCACTATTTTGGCTATACCTTTTTTAGTTGGTAAAAAATAATGGAGTTGTAGCCAAAATATTTTTTACTGATTTGACTTAAAAATAAAAATACACAATTGAAATAATTAGAAATTATATCTAACAAAAATAATAATAGGAAATACACAACAACAACAACAACCCAGTATAATCCTACTAGTGGGGTCTGGGGAGGGTACTGTGTACGCAGACTTTACCCCTACCCTGGGGTAGAGAGGCTGTTTCCAAATAGAACCTCGGCATCCTTCACTCCAAGAACTCTCCACCTTGCTTTTGGGGTGACTCGAACTCACGACCTTTTGGTTGAAAGTGGAGGTTGCTTACCGTGAGAGCCAGCCCCTCTTGTCTAACAAACACACACAACGCCAAAAAGGAAAAAGAAATCTCCCCCCTTTTTTCCAAAAGGCTGCGTTAAGCGAATGACTTGATAGTTACACAGGGATGATGAAGATAAATTTAGTGGCAACATAGGCAGAGAATGATCTACTGCAAAATCCAGAATTTAAATTTTATGAGTTTAATTTTTAAGATTTTTAATATTGAACCCATTATATTTATGAAGTTATGGATAATATCTACTATTTTTGTAATTTTAATGAATTTTTTCTCCTCCAAATCAGAAGTTATGGATGTAATTGAATCCGTCGATTTAACACTACATTCGCCCCTGAGCATAGGCACGCAACTACATGGGTATTAATTTATAATTTAGAACCATAACCTGCACATAAAAATGTTGCTAATACAGACGAAAACTCAATTTGTATAGTACTCAAAATGTACAACATGTTTATAAATCAATTTAGTAAAATCTCAAAATTAACATATAAAATTAAAATTTTAAAAAGGATATCAGCTACTAATAGCTGTTTCATAAAATAAAAGCTTTTTTCTCCTCCTATATCTTTTCATAAACCTCTTTTAAAAAAATGTTCACAATATAATCTTTCAATTGGCACAAATATCCAAGAAAGCTTGAATAATAATCTCATGATAAGAAGACGAATTCAGATGTAGAAAACAATTCAATAGCTCCTTTAAATCTTCAGGTGAGTAAATTTCCATCTCAAAGATCATTTGGAGCATGGATTTCTTGAAATCTTGAAACGGATCACTCGAATCCTTGACCACCACGACACTACCATGAATTTTTGGGCATATGCTGACTCTAAATTCTGAATCCGCCTGATCTGATGGCAGTAAAAAGTTGACATAATCATTTTGATCAAAACTAAGCGGAGATAATGAATCTATGTTAGTAGAGAAGGTGTTGGAAGTGTGATTATCTTGAAATGGATCATCTGAATTCTTGACGACAGTAACGTCATGAATTTTTGGATACGAACTGACTCTAGGTTCTGAATTCACCTCTGATCGTGATAAATTGGTATCATTATTTTGATTAAAAATAGGTGGAGACAATGAAGATATGTTAGTAGAGAAGGTGGCGGAAGTGTGATTATCTTGAAATGGACCATCTGAGTTCTTTATAACAATAACACCGTCACGAATTTCTGGGAAAGAGCTGACTCTAAATTCTGAATTCGCTTCTGACGGTGATATATTGGTATCATTATTTTGATCAGAAATAGGTGGAGATAATGAATCTATGCTAGTACAGAAGGTGGTGGAAGTGAAATTAATATCTTGAAATGGATCATCTGAGTTCCTAACAACGGCAATACCACCACGACTTTCTGGAAACATGCTGACTCTAGATTTTGAATTCGCTTCTGACGGTGATAAATTGGTAGAATCATTTTGATTAGAACTAGATGGAGATAATGAATCTATGTTGACGGAAAATGTGATGGAAGTGTGATCATCTTCATCAAGATCATTATCATTGATTTTCCCAAAACTTGAAGAAGTGTGACAAATGCTAGGTGATTGCTTTGTGTGAATAGGGATTTTGAGTTTTGGCTTTGGATTTGGTTCTAATATATCTACTGAATTTGGCTTACTACAACCACTACAACTAGCTCCATTGGATATGAATAATTTCCCAAAATTCCATTTTTTCTTGCTCTTTGAAGACATTATAGAAGTATAGAAGGAAGAAAGAGAATGAAAAGAAGATTTGTAAATTTGTGAGTAAGTTAAAAGTTTATATAAGGTATTGTGATAGTTGTCTAATTGTCTTTTTCATAGATTTCGTGTTTTTTGGGTTTAATAAAATTTGGAAACAAATAGAATTTTGTTTTCTTTTTTCTTGTCTTTTTCTTCGAGGGGCTTATCTTTCGGAAAAGGGTAGTTGTGTGTGAGGAAAAATATAAAAATGGGGAAAGTTTGTTGGAAAAAAACAAAAGAAAAATTTATAAGGTTTTCTTGTTGGAAAAAATATTTGTTTACACCCATAATTATACTCGACTATATTAGTTTTACCGTAACTAGTGACAAAATTGAGGTAAAACTATGTAGTTAATTATAGGTGTGCATGTAAGAATATATATATATATAGAGAGAGAGTCAAATATCTCTATAGCAACATCCTTATATAATAACCATTCATTACAAAAAGCTAAATTTTTCTCGTAATCGATTTTAAGTTATATTTTACCTCTGTATAATTGCTTTTACTTATAACAACAACGTCCTTATTTATAGCAAAATATTCTTTGTAAAAAATACCCCTCTATAATAGCCATATTGTATCTCTAAGATTACTAATAATTCTAAAAATCTACACATAGTCTTTCTATTAAACAAAGTTTTCATCTTGCCTAGTGCGATTTACATTTTTTGTGTGATTTGCGAGCTATTGTGCAGTGAGCAGGTTATCCAGCGTGTACCCGAAGAATAGCGGTTGGGGGTTTCCCTGGAAATTCTCAACAAAAAAAAAAGTTTCATCTTGCATAATATATAAGATTTGAAGATGTTCACATGAGATCTTTTTCATCGAACAAATGCCAAAAGATATTCATATAGAAGATTCAACTATTAAGCTCTTAGATTACCTTCAAGCGAAAGCTGTCGGATTTTTGCCGAAAGTTTGAACAAATTTTTTTACTGATTAAGTGTTATATCGCTAGTAAGAGAATGAAATATATGAAACAAGCTACGATTATAAAGTTCTTCCATTAATCTTGAAATAATTTATTTTTTTAGTAACTTTAAAATTTTTGCCGTAGAATTTAAATTTTGTACATTTGGTTATGGATTTAATAATAATATATCAGCTTTCTTAATATTTAATTAATAAAATATGCATATCTTTAAGATTTTAAATTGAATATTTTTCTAATCATTTATATGTAACATTAGATAAGGAAAATTTTAATTTTGGATAATTTTTGTTCTATCACAATCAAAGTTACAGGTGTATAACAGTCCATTCACTAAAAAGAGCCAAAAAATATCGGAATAAATGATGTTGTACAGAGAGACTTTACTGCAATATGAAAGTAGAGGGATAAATCTAATTCTTTCTAGTCATTTTAGATATTAGAGTAGGTGATTTTAGATTCAGAATTAACCAAATTTCCCCTTTTCTAGTTATTTTTACATGCCTTTGTTTGTGATGATTATGAGAATTTCATAATTTTTTCATCAGAAAAGTGACCATGCCGAAAACATGTCAATTTTATACGAGTTGGGGATCCGATTTTATATAAATATAAAAGAGAATGATAGCCTTCTACTCCAATATATTTTTGCTTTAATTTAACAATAAATTGTTTTAGGTGGGACTAGCGTCAAATAATATACATAGATCAAAACTCTTCAAGATCAACTTTGGCTGGCTCTAGAACGCTTAATACAGTCAAATCTCTTTATAACAGTCTTATTTATTCATTAATTTTTTGAATGTTATAGCGAAGTACTGTTATAGAAACGAGTAACCAAGAAAATAAGATAGGTAACCTTCAGGTAAAATTAATACTTGTTTTAAATATTCTTTTACACGATGACAAATATAAATTTAATCATTATTTTTTATATAAGGAAGGGGGAGTCATAGAGCAACAATAAAGTTGTCTCTATAGATCACGATCGAGTTCGAGCCGTAAAATCAACTACTGATCCTTGGTTCAGGATAGATTGTCAACATCCTCAAAGACGGATTCAGAATTTGAAGTTTATGAATTCCTGTTATAATTTCAAATTAACATGCAATAATAACCAGGTTCACAGTTATATATTTATAGATATTTAATGAATTGTTTAATAGAAAGTACAGGATGTATCTAGATCCGCCACTGCTCTTCCTTGCGGTCGATCCTTTTTTGAATCTGGCGTAAACACAAAATGCTTCGTGCATCAAGCTGCCTCTTTTAAGAGCGGTAGAATCAACTACTCATACTGGACTAGTATCATGGTACATAAATTAGCATGTGAAGAGTGAAGTGAATTACAAGCAATGAATTATTTGAAGAGCCCACTGTCAGTCTTTTTTATGTTAAAGACTAGAGCTTTTGTTATGGGCAATGGGAAGCTTAGAAGTAAAAAGTTTTCAGTAGGTGAACTAATTTTACCATAAGAAAATAGGTGCTGTGTTTTCAAGATTTGTTTGCTTTATGGATGGGCTATTTCTGATTAAGGGAATTTTAGGCCAGTTTTCATTTCAAATTTAATAATTATAATTAAGTGCTAAATCATTATCCAAAATTGCAACCAACTAAGTAGTTATGGAAAAGACAAATTTCGAAAATAAAATTTTGGTACGATATTTTAAGGATTTGAATTTCACAACTTCTAAGTTAAAACAGTCCTTCACAAAAAAAAGTATATACCAACAGTTTTTCTTGATTAGTTAGTAGCTAGTAATTACCACTAGCTGGTCTTTTTTCTTTTACACACACGAATAAAAAAGACACCCTCGAACACAAAATATTTTGTATGTGTTTACGCAGGATTCGAGGTAACCACATAGGAAAAAAAGGGAAGAAAATCACGATCTAAAATTCAACTAGCTATGATGACACCTAACCCAAACCTCTAGGTAGGGGTGAGCATAAAATCCGAAAAGCCGAATTCCGAACCGAACCGTAATAATTCGGTATTTCGGTTTCGGATTTTTTCGGTATTTCGGTCTAATTCGGTATTGCAATTTCGGTATTTCGGTACGGTCCTCGGTATTAAAATTCTGAAATTTCGGTATTTCGGTATACCGAAATACCGATTTTTAAAAGATATTTTCTTAATAACCCAGCCCACTGCCCATCGCCCCAGCCCCAACGCCCAAGCCCAAACCTTTCTTTATTTAATTCTCAACCCCAGCCCATCTACCCAGCCCACTCTAATTTCTAATTTCTTAATAACCCAGCCCCAGCCCATCGACCCTTTGACCTATAATTCTAATTCCCAGCCCCAACGCCCAAAAATTTTCAGTTTGCACTTTGCAGTGCACTGGAGTTATTTGGTGTTTTAGCCTATACGTTGCTTAATAACTCAATTCTCTATTCTTTATAGTTCGGAGCAGATTCTTTCACAATTCACAGTGAAAGTTTCAGTTGTGCATGTGCACTGTTAGCATTGATTATTCAGCGATTATTAAACCGAAACCGTATCGAACCAAATTAAGAAATACCGAACCGTACTGAAATATTTTGGTATGGTATTTGGTATATACAATTAATAAACCGAATACCGAAATACCGAACCGAAATTCATAAATACCGAACCAAAATACCGAATGCCCACCCCTACCTCTAGGTAAGCGAACTATCCATAAACACAATCCAAATGAGATTACCAGGAAATAAATGATTAAATAACTGAATTCTTATACAATAAACCAATGACCGGTAGTACAAGTCACGAGCCACTAAGACTTAGAATTATAAATTGATAGGAAATTATACAACATCTGTTTGAAATGTACATAAACAGAACCTCAAATCTAGAACTACCAAGACAAGTGGTAGCGATAACCAGAATGCAGGTATATCTTTAATGCCAGCTCCCGCTATTTACAGCAACATCAGTTCCAAAATCTGCACGTAAGGTGCAAAAGTGTTGTATGAGTACAACCGATCACATGTACTCAATAAATATCCTAACTAACCTCGACGAGATAATAGAAGAAAAAACTATAAATGATACTCGGTGACCACTTGTGCAGTTCATAAATTTAACAAGTATAGAACAGATATATGATCAAATCAGGAAATCTCTGGTAAAACCACCTTGGTGCTCACAATTCTTTGTTTTAAAGTGTCACGACCCTAAAATGGACCCGGTCGTGATGGCGCCTATCATGAAACTAGGCCAGCCGACACAAACCCCAAAACCAACCAAACAATTATAATAAGTCGTTTAAAAATCATTAATAAGCTAAAATCCCAAAATGTAAGGTAGAATAGAACAGTGCGAAAACAAAACACAACCCGACATCGGGGTGTCACTAGTCATGAGCAACTACAACCTGTCTAGAAATATGAAAAGATAACATAGTCTAAATCAAAGCTAATACAAAACGGAATAAAGATAGGAAGGAGAAGCACTGGATTGCGAACGCTAAGCAGCTACCTAGTCAACTCCGAAAGCCTGCTGGAAGACAAATCAGCACTCGCTAGCGTGACCCGAGACTCCTGGATCTGCACACAGGGTGCAGGGAGTAATGTGAGTACGCCAACGCAGTAAGTAATAAAAGTAAAGGCAGCTGAGCAGTAAGAAAATACGTAAACCACAGCATAACGCTACAACAAACTAGTATAAGTACAGAACAATGCGGTAAAGCAGTAAAACTCGTAAAACATCTCAGTTCGGTAAAATCTTTTTAAAACATCTTTCAGTAATTCAAACGAGTGATGAAAAAAAACCAGTAGGAAAAAGGATAGAAATGTAAATAGTCCCTCGGGCAAAACAAGTACCACAATCGCCCCTCGGGCAAAAATATCAACAGAACCAGCCCCTCGGGCTACCTCACAATCACTCGTATCAGCCCCTTAGGCAATAACATGAAACAACAACAGCCCCTCGGGCAATATCACATCTCACAGTGGGTACCCGTGCTCACTGGGGGTGTGAAGACTCCGGAGGGGCTCCTACAACCCAAGCGCTATAACAAGCCATTTTGTGGTATAATTAAACTGGCCCT